GTACAAATATGTATGAACTTTTAGGGAAAGAAAAAAAAAAGTAGTCCAGACCCAAACCTTACTGAGGAGTAAGTGGGTAGTATGAAAATGTATAAATGATATCATACACATTAATTTTAATTTACTACCAATTTACCAAATTGCCAAACCATGAATTGCCATGTTGGCTGTAGACAAGTCAAGATTTGTTTTTCTTTTTTTGCATTTTCTTTAATAAGTCACAGGCTGCTACAGTTCTACACTATTTTTAAACACTTTTTGTACCAAAGCAACTATATAATCAATAGCCTTATTACGTGGGCAGTTGTAAGATTGAATAGGAGTAACACAATAAACATAATATATTATAATAAACCTGCTGTATATCAAATAAAATCAAAACTAATAAAATCGTTTTAATGCTTATTACAATTACTGATTACGTCTTTTTAAAGCAAATATTAGCTGCAGGAATATGTTTAGATAAAAGAATCAGCTAAAAAGTGAAAATATGTAATCATGTTTAATTGAGACGTCATAATTATTACGTAATTATTTGAACCTAGCACATGATTATTTGAAATAAATTGAATCCTTTCTCAAACGCTAAAATAATATAAAACTAAAATATTCCAAGTATTGGAATTGATTAGGGTCTATATATATTATTATTATTATTATTTTTTTTTTTAACTTATTTCTATTTTTTTTTCAACTACCTTTTTTTAATCTAATCATACAATTACCCACAAAGATCAAATATTTTATGGCAGCTACCATATATCAATAATGTTATAACCAATGTATGTAATTTTTAACCAACAACAATTAGTTTGAAATTGAATTCAGAGGCATCAAAACTCTAGAAAGCATAAGCAAGATGCAAGTGCACATCCCATAGAAATATCTATAACATCAGGTTTTCTTAGAAATTTCTAAAAACATGCAGCCCTTCTTCACAAGGAAGAGGAAGAACCAAATAAGTGTCATCACTTTGGCTTATTTGTTAATGAAGAAATGTAGTGTTCTCTCTAACTTTGTAAAATAGGTCAAACTGTATTTCTCTTTCACTTTTTTCTTTTATTGGCCTCTTTCCTTCCTCTATAAGGCACTTTTGTGTAGCTGTTTTGTCCCTGTATACTGTGGTGTGATCCCACCACAATATAAAGGAGAGGTGAGTAAAAGTGTTTGTACCAAGTGCTCTGTGACAACATGCCTAAAAACTACAGAAATACACTAAACCAACACACAGCCCAGAATAAGCTATAAATACAATGCCTGTGTACTTTGCCAGCACTATATGGATGGAGGTTTCACAAACATCCAGCCCTTAGAGGATTCCTCTCCCACCCTCACCATCTCCCCGTTTGCTGGACACATGGACATCTGTCCGTCCGATACCTCCACCATCCTGTGCGATGTCATCATCCAGCAGCTCTCCTTCCAGTGCTCCGTCACCAACTGCATCCGGCTGGTGGATGCCTTGTTCCCTCGAGACTGGAGGGTGAGTTCTGTAACTGTGTCCTAACACAGGCCCTTCTATGGTGCCTTTTTGTTCTTTTCAGAGTAAACACAACTAGTGTTGGGCGATATGCTCAATTTTCATATCATCCTATCGTCAGCCTTTGAGATTGCCGATACACGATATTATTGTGTTAATTTATTTAATTATTTATTTACTTAGTTTCATTGCCGGAAAGTGAACCAACTCCAGCGTAAGGCTAAAAACAGCCTTTTTAATGTGACTGAATTTCTATTTAACATGATAACAATTCAATAGAAATATTGTAAGTTACTAATTATAATGCTTATATTTCCTCAGTTATTCAAAAAGCAGCTACAGAAAACGAGCAAAGACCATTTGCATTACCAAAGAACATCATCACAAGCTCAGTCTAGCACGAGTTTATGCACTTTGAAGGGGGTCATACGATGCGATTTCAAGTTTTCCTTTCTCTTTGGAGTGTTACAAGCTGATTGTGCATAGATAAGATCCCTGAAGTTGCAAAGACTAAAGTCTCAAAACCAAAGAGATATTCTTTATCAAAGTTAAGACTCTGACACGCCCCCCTAAAATGCCTCGTTCTAACACGCCCCCACATATCTACCTCACCATGTGGAAATATTTGCATAATGCGCCCAAATGATCACGCAAAGAAAGAAGGCGTGGTTTCAAGTAACCGCAGTTAGTGTTGAAGCAGCATGTCAGAGAGACGCTGTGTGTTTCTAGGCGAAAGCAAAAGCACTTTATTTAGCCTTCCGAAAGTAGATGCATTTAGGAATCATTAAGATCACTTACAACAGTACAGCAAGGCATTT